GACGTAAAAACGTGCATATGACAAAAGGTCGCGTCGAATTTTTGGCGGTCGCCGTCCATTTGAAAAATACACATAAAAATAGTTTCAAATTAAGCGGTGTCTTTGATGGCCGGTGATTTACTGCTAACGGCTAAAATATTTATTACAGGGGAAAAAGCTGGACCCCGACAAAAAGGCATTTTAATGACATCATTCGGCACATTAAACAAAATTAATACCGGGATGGGAAGAAACTGTTTTTTATTGCCCATTATGCGAGTCGGGTATTAGATTACCACGTTGTTACGCAATTGAGAAAATAGAACTACCTCGCGGCGAATAAGTAAGACAATGGACCCCTAAAAATGGCGTCGATTGATAATGTCAATTCATTTGTTCCGTTAAGTAAAAGAGAAGTCGCTAACTGCCCTTATGCATGTGTTCTGCTCCAGTTAAGAAAATTACAAAAATAATACAGACAATTTGGGAGAAAAGGAAAAGGGACATGAATAAAGTACAGTAAAAAGAGGAGCATGATTATGTTATCTACTTGTTCACTAAAAATAAAATATAGATTTTGGTTTAATAAGGAAAACTTTTCAATTTTTAGCTTTAAATAAAGAAAATGACTCAGAATTCCTGGGAAATATTTTTAAAAAAGAAGTCGGAATATCGATGTTTAAATTTTATTGTTAAATTTTTCAGTAATTGAGACGGCTCTTATAGTATTATTAAAAATTGGCAGTTTTAGGTTTCTTGACATGAAAATTAGGAATTTGAAACTTATTTGGACTTTTTTCTGGGGGGGGGGGGCGCTAGTTTTACCATATAATTTACCGTGCATTTTTGTTATCTTTCGAGCTATGAAGGAAAAATGATAAACATCTTAAAGTCTTCTGTTTTTCATAGGAAATGCACTTTTGTTTTAGCCCTCTCGGTCTTTGACTTATTTTAATATTTAAGGACAACAAATTTGGTAACAGTACCAAATAGTAGCAATTCCATAATAAATTCATAAAATCATCGTGTTTACAGATTGCTCAATCTGTATGAATTACTTTGTATAGCTGATATTTCGAGCTGAAATATCCCTTATGAGAGACTTATATTAGAAATGCTGACTTTTTCCTAAAAAAAAATTATATTTTCTTTCAACGCTTTCGTATTATTGAACTCATTATCAAATATTTGTATTTCAAACCAAAAAAACAAAACTTGAACAATCCTAATAATAAATCTCAGTGTTTGAAAATTGTTATGGATATATAAATTGTACACAATAATGGACCTAAGAGAAACCCTGTGTGTATCATCATAGGTTACATCAAGAGGTTCTGACTTTTCCTTTCATTACTACTCTGTTTAAGCTACATCAAAAGGAAAATATAATAATATCTTGTAATCAAAATAAATAAGAACTAAAAATAAAGATTTTCACGAAATTATATATGTTCACATGAGAATTGTTTCAACTACCTTGTTTATTTTGATAAATTAATTTTCATCAAGTAGAAGCCACCTCAGTTCAATATCTTGTAATAGACAAAAATATTTAAAATATATTTTAAACGATAAATTAAACGATATTTAAAATTATAGCATCACTATGGTTCTCTCCAGAATTTTGGACGGTATAATATGCAGAAAAATGGATATAAATATAAGTACAATAAAGAAAAGTACAAAATAACAACAACACTTGCGCAATATTAATAATAAATCTGGGTGTCATCTGCCTACACATAAACTTGTATCAAGAATTTAACTTTTTCAAAATTACAACCATAGAAGATGGCATCCATAAATTTTAAAAAATGTGTTTTAAAATTTCTACTGCTTTGTTGAAGCAATGTCCGAAACGAAACCATACATACTCTCCCATAAATATTAACCGCCCTTAATTGGGTTTAAAAAATTTCGTTTCCCCCTTTTTCCGAGTGAACGTGCCAAGACAATAAAAATATCCCCCCCCCCCCCCCCCAACCCTCCAACACTGTCACCCGTGCGTTAATACCGGCCCTCCGAATTTTTAATAACAAACCTTTCTCATGCCCGAATTGCTCCTCATAAAATAATCGAATTAGCGTACAAGCTGGGCGGGCGAGCTTAAAATTTCCACATTTCGCAATAATCGAATTTGCCACTTAAACGTATTACAAAAGTCAAGCTCGTACACTCTTACGCTCAGAACGGAAGGGTAGTCGATGTTGTCGAACAAGGGGTATTAATCTGCAAGGAACATTTTAATGTATATTTAGGGCGGGTCTTCACCGGGACTCCCCATAAGCAAACCCCATGAAACGGGCACTTTGTTTGATATAATTGAATCTCTGCGCAAACTTAGCGAACGATAGTAAACTAACAAATTTTGATGTAGAGGTAGAACACAAAGCCGTAATCAAATAAAAGCGCTCTTACTTAATTATTTACACGACAGCGTAGAAGAACAATAGCTACGTTTTAGTTGTTGCCATTATCTCTTCTGAGGGTAGCTTACATTAATTAATCAATATTTGAGAGAATAATCGAATATACATATTGATAATGGCAGTGGGCATAGCAAAATAATTCTTTTCTATTTTAGAACACAAAAGTTCTATGCAGAAGTTGTAAGGTTCTAAGGTTAAATTGCATAGTTACTTATATACAAGGTGAGCGTTGTATATCAAAGTAATATTATTTTCGGACCTTATCGAAAGATATAATTATCTGGTCAGGATGCAAATCATTAATATGATTTATTTCACTCCTAATTAGTCATTTAATGTCATCTATATTGTCAAGCCGCTCAAAATAAATTTATAGATATTTCTCCAGTCATCGTCGAGTTACAAAAAACGAGTCCGAGGAAATGGTTATTTTTTAAAGCACACCAAATATTTTTCCGGATTTGGAATCCCTGATGTAGTGTCAAAAATCAATCGTGTCTCTATGGCCAACATTTGCAACATAAGTCCAAAAAAAACTAATCGCTGAGTTTTCAGTTAAATGCTGGTGAATTTAAAATAGTAGAATAATTTTTTTTAAATTTTCTCAAAATGATTTCTCTATAAACTCTTCTGCAACTGGATAAATTTTTTGTATATACAAGTTATTTAACAGCCCTAATATAAAAAGATATTTAAGTCTTCATCATGATTAAAAACGCACTGCCTAGTTTTTCTCTCAATTGTTTGGTTTTTTGAAATGCGTATTTCCATGGCCCTATTTTTTATATACAACCACAAAGTTTTGAAATTTCAAAACATTTATTATTCTTTCATCATAATTAAACAACAAAAGACGTAACGCCATGATGATGCATAGCCCACTAAGTGATTTTGGCTAATTCTGGCCTTAATGCGGAAAATAAATATGAAGTACTATTTATTTTTCAAATCAGCATAGAAGGAACTTTATCAAATAATACATAGAGCTTTTAATTAATGAAAAGTCTTGGACATATCCTTTCTTGCATATAAAAAAGTATGTAATATTAAACCTACACGTTGAACCCGTGTACATTTTGTTCCTATTTTGTTAGACCCACCCTGGTTAACCTATTTCGTTTAGTAGGCATATAAAATTCCCTCCCCCTCCCCATTTTTTCGTCAGTTATTGGACTACAAATTTTGAAATTTCAAAGGACGATATTGTCGCAATGCCAGTTTATTCATTAATTTCAAATTCTTTCATATATATTTTTCAACCAGTATTAGTTTCCTCCAAACGTAATATGGCCAATTTATTATTAGAAAAAACTAAGCCTTTTCTTTAAAAAATGAACAGTTTTGGTAGAAATCTATGTTTTTTACTTTGACTGAAATTTTTTAAAATTGGAGTTAATCATCTGCCAATTTCAAGCATCAGGGTAAGTTGGAATTACAATCACAATTACAATATTTAATGGTTCCTCAAAATGGCAGGTACTAACTCAACAAATGTAGAGCAAAGTGATTTTTCTGCTTTCATATCGTATATGTCAAATAACAAGTCGAATCCATTTGCCGAGACCAGTGGTGCCCTGCGGGACAACGACTTAACCTCATTGATTTATTTTATTTTTATTAACCCAAATAAAGATGACCTAAAAATACGCCAGTTGACCTTGATGCAATTGTTTTATTTATTGCTTGATTTTAAAATTAAAATTTGTTGTTATTTTAGATACTTTTTATATCATTTTCCAAATTAGCCACACATATGTAATCTTAAAAAAAATCCCGACACGTTTTATCTGTAACTGGAAATGACAATAACTCAAGGCGATGCACTTTTTAAAGGTCAAATAATGTTCGTTCTGTATATTTTTAAAATATGCAGATCGAACATTATATTGAATTGTAGGAATAAACAGGCATGCAAATAAAAATTCTATAAAATTTAATTATCTATTTTATTTTAGCCACATAATTGCCCACGGTTTAGCGACATGTGAAAGGTTTTTGGAGCATCCACCATTTTGTACTGATCGATTCGATAATAAAAAGATCGTTTGTCGACAAGGAATATTTAGTAGTTCTTTTCGATTCAAATTTCGTTTTTTTCAGTTCGATCGTAAATCAAGAGCTACATCCCCCGGCTATCTTATAAATTTTCGACAAATGGTGCTTCCAGGAGTCTGAGAAACAAGATTTAAAGCCAGAAAACGCGACGCACAAATGAGTATTTTTATTACGCTTAACAGGTCTGCAAAAATTGACGAAACAAATTCGACTCGAGCCACTTTCGTAAAGATTTTTTTCTCAAAGCAAGAATTTCATAAAAACACACACATATGATATTAAAAAAGTTTAGAGGGAGATATTTTTACATACGGACTTATTCAAGCGGGCAAGGCTTCGCCTGCTCCGTTATATGTATGTCAAAGTTTTAAAAAGTTTTTTGTGTAGGCCAGAAACTTTCCTTTCAACGGTGATGTACTTTTATCTAAACAGATCTAGACGCATTATCGGGTCTATCCGATTTAGGGAACCGGCCCTTTCGCAGGCATCGATTCTCAAAAGCAAAGACCAAATATTTGAAATCTTTAATTACAATCTTTAATTACAACTGTCCACCAAACATCTCCTATTGCACACGTGTCTGTAATATGGCGCCGAAGTTCTAGCTTTCCTCGGTAACGCCGGATCGTTGAAGTCTACGTAGTAGAACGAAGTACCTTGCCTAAACGTAAACCCAATGATTATTTTTAGCAAAAAATGGGAAAAATGATAATAAGGTCAACTTTCAAGTTTTAAGAATAAAATTTATATTTGACGGCTACACCATAAGTGTGTTACTAACTTCAGTTGAATCCGCGCGATCCATTTTCTGGATAATTGTTGGTAACTTGTCATAATTAGGAAAACTATAATTAAATTTCTCAAGTAGTTATATTGATTCATATTATACCATTAAGAACTTCTTATTTTAATCTTAACTTTAAGCTCCAATAGCGAAATGGTTGTTATGGAATCTGAGCTCACTTTATTTATGAAATATCTCACGAATTTGTAGCCCTGTTGTTTTATTATTAGTCCTTACCTTTTATTCTTTTTGAATATATGTTGTGTTTCGTATGATATGAATCTACCTATCTCTCTACCTATGTTCTTTTCAACTCAAAACCTCAAACGATTGTCTATATTATCAATATACTGACGTACAACTTTTTGAAGGGTGGTTAGTTGTGAATTATTCTAATATAGAATTTTTATGATGTCAGCACTTACGTGTACCCCATGTACCAGTTGTAACAGTCTAAGATAGACCAGGCCATATACCCTATGACATTAGCTCCGTCGTACACCATAGAATCCAAAATGTTGCTCAGGTACAACTGAAAACAATCGAACCTTAAGAGTCTCATTTAATCGACTTGAGTTTCAAGATACCTTATGGTAATACCCTCTCGAATCCAAATCATCTATAATAGATTGTTCGTGCCACCACCCGCTTTCGGTAATCAAAATTTCGGGCGACCCGTAGGTGTTATGCAACCAAGTGATGAGCTTCCGCGCACCTGCTGGGTATATTTTCCAGTCGTCATAGCCTTCCCAGCTTGATGGGTTCGACAAGGCGATACCCATATCCAACCCCCTGCTCGGTTTGCTAATCGGGGCGTCCTCTACCCATTTCGTCAAAATGGAGGTATACATGTTGATGCAGAGGTAATCGGCAGTACCTTTCATGATCTTCTTCATGGAGTCTGTAAACTCTGGTAGACGCGAATGCGCCAGACCTTCTTTCAAACTTCGTTCCTCTATCCGAGTTTTCATCACTTCCGGGTAATCGCCGAAGAATATTGGGTGCGCGAACCAACCATACTAATGAAACCAAATTAAATCAACACACACACTGTAATGTCTGGCGAAGTAAGTGGAAAGAAAGGGATGGTTTTGAGTTTGCAAAATATGAAAGGTTTGAAACAATTTCGTTTCCCATATGTACGTGAACCGATTAGTTCAAATAAGATAAAGAAAGAAGAAGAGGGAGGGTCCTAGGTTTCTAACAGTAATATTTTAGTCATCGAAATAAAAACATGTTTTGGGAATTCGGTCAATAAGAACATTCAGATGGAATCTTACAGATCAAGATGTGCTTACCGTAAATAGTAAACCTCTTTCTGATGCTTCCAAATCCTGTGCGCTATTTGACGCCGGTTCGTACCAGTCGGTATCGATTACCATGGAAATTTTGCCTATATGGAGTTACTAATTAGAAAAATTTTATTTTTTAAAGACCTCAACAAATACCTTTCTGCCTGTCGTAGTACTTTTGCCTGTATAGTTGGTAGGTTTCGCCATGAGATAGCAGCAAATGGTGAGCGCATGTGTAACTTTGAAGCCCCGATGAAGCGATGTTCGGGGGCACACCTCCAATTCCGTAACCCTTCTCGCACGTTTGCTGCGGTTCGTTATGAGTCACCCAGTACGTGATGTCGTCACCGAAATTCTCAAACAACACGTCAGCGTAATCCACGAACAATCCCACGATAGTCTGATTGATCCAGCCGCCTTGGTCTTGCAACACCTGAGGTAGATCCCAGTGGTACATTGTAGGTAGAGGTTCCATGCCAGCCGCTTTCACTTCCGCTATCAGCCTCTTGTAGTAGTCGATTCCGGCTTGGTTGACGTAGTCTTTGTAACCGTTGGGTAAGATTCTGGTCCAGGCGATCGAAAATCTGTAGGCCTTGGCTCCCATGTCCTTCATGAGTTGGATGTCTTGGGGATACGTGTGGTACATGTCGCTCGCGATGTCTCCGTTGGTGCGGTCGACCACGTGCTCGGGAAAAAAATGAACGTCACGGTCCCAAATGTTTTCCGATTTGCCGTCTTCGTTCCAAGCACCTTCGTGTTGGTAGGCGGCCGTGGCGAAGCCGAACATGAAGTTTGACGGAAAATAATGATCGTTCATCGTGTAATTGACACCGTTTACGACGTAGTCTCTTTTTTCGATAAAGGCGTTCATTTCCGCTACCGAACCTCCCCCCAGTGTCCTGAAAACGGAAGACTGACTAAGACCAAAAAAGGACCTGAGGAGAAAATTGATATTTTGAAGCAAGAATAAGAGACAACAAAAATTTGTTTAAATGGCATCACTTGCTTACTCATTCATAGTTTTATAAAGTTGCATTCCAACAGAAAGTTTGTTGGACAAAAATCACCTAAACATTTAATGTAGCCGCGATAGTAATTAATGAATAAATTTATCCTTATAAATTAACAAAATTAATCAACCGATATCATTAAATTTAGATGATTCGTTCGATATAGCGTGAAAAATTTTATTAACACGTCCAAGTTAAATTAAATTTCAAATTAAATATTCAAAACTAGTGCGTGCAATTTAAACTTGAATGGTAGCCATTTTACCTTTGGGGGAGGACGCAGCAAATTATTCCTGATGTTAACAACGCTTTAAGCCACATATTTGTTGTTCACTCCTGTCAATTCGCACACATATAAATTGAAATATGCGGCTTTTTATCGAAACTAAGCGTGAGAGTCCTCAAGATAATTTTTATAATAAACACTTATGATTTTGTTTTTTTGATTATCGGTAGGAGTGGTATGCATATTTGTTATTTCCTGTAAAATTCGAAAACGAAATGCTTAAAGACAAAAAAAAAGTTTTAGGTTCCACCGAGATTTGAACTCGGATCGCTGGATTCAAAGTCCAGAGTGCTAACCATTACACCATGGAACCGTTTAATTTTTCGTGCAGATAGACCGTTATCATTTTATATACGAGACGACTAAAATTAGAAGACTGTCCTTTCGTGTCTTATCTCCGTCCTAATAAAAAAAATTATCGCTGCATTAAAAAATTCCATTTAGCAAATTTCAAATTTCGTCACGACGCGAATAGAGGGGGTTAAAATTCCGGACAACGAATAAATTCTCCCCCAAATTTATTGCCTAGGTAACAATTTAAGATCGGGATCCATTTATTAAATATAACAGCACGCCATTTTCATTAACGTATTCTTTATTCGGGATTTATGGTCCTCGGGACAACTAAAATTTCATTCGCAACCCTTCTATAAATCAGCTTTAATTATACAAATTTAATAACTCTAAATATCATCTCCCACACTCCACACAGCCCATTAGAGCAGTAAAATCCCACCCCTTATCTATAAAACGTTTATTTAAGCCACCCTCAAAATATTTACCCGGGCCAGCTTTTACTTTCGAACCTCCCGCGTAATCCTGTCGTATTTCCGAGTTTAATTTCGAATGCGGTTTACGTGCACGTTTATTGTCACATATAGAATTTTATATTTCGTTCGTAAAATTTGGATAATGCGAAAAGGGTCCGCGCGTATAACATTATTCACGCGGTCCTGTTCGTGAATTTATGTGGCCCGGCGGAGAAACTCATTAGATAAAGTCGTTAAAATTTAGGGAAAACCCGGTATTAATTGCGTTAACCGACTCTTTCAAATTCCGATTTAAATATGGCCGCCGGGTCTCCGAACGATGCGTGTACACCCCATCAATGTATTTTTAAAACGGTATGAAATCAATACAAAATATGTAAAATATATATTAACAGAAAAATTTTGGTCAGATATTTCCGCATATGGTGGTTTCGAAGGGAAATAAAAAAAACTGGAGATACTGCATGTAGGGTTCCATGTTCACGAAATAAGAGGCGTCTTTAATGAAAGTATTACAATTGCTAACTAGTATTAAAAACTAGTGCACCCAAAGTTCCATGACAACAAAATTTATGACTGTTTAAATTGGAAGTAAAAAAAACTTGACTACTTAAACAAACAACGGTTACAATTGAGCAAGTAGTGCAAGTAAACTAAAATATTTTGAAGCGGCAATTTACCACTATAATAAAAATGACTCTCCCTGATTGACTTTATTCCAATGATGACTCAAACTCTGACGATGACTATTACCACCGTAGTACAAGCTGGTCTTGTTAATAGGTTGTAATCTGATTAAAAGCTGTTCAAAATCTTACATGCTTACAGCTCTTATTATGTGTCTGCTTGAATTTTTGATTTGTTGAATTTTCTTTTTTCTTTTAATTGCAAATTATTATTAATTCTTCCCAAGAACACGGTTGGTGTTTTGTGGTAAGTAGTTTTTTACTAATCCTAATTTGTACTTATTAATAATTATTCTATTATAATGAATAGGCGGTTCATTGGCGTAGCGATTTTAATAAGAGTAGGGGAGGCTGCAGAATGTCTAATTAATTCTAAACGAATTATATAATTTCGTCAAACTCATGTTTTTTGAAAGAGATATATTAGTGTTCAAATTGATACTAGCAATAATAGCAATTCCCAATAACAACAGTTTGTTTCTTATTTTGAGACGAAATTTTAAATAATAGGGTTTAATTTTGAAAACGGAGTTGCAAATATAACATATTCGTATATGTTATAACTTAATTTAAGAATTTTCCGTGAAATTTGGAGCCTAAACATATTTTCCACAATTTTTTCGTGGTCATTTTTGTCATAAAATCAATATCAATCAATATATCAATTTAAATGTTCTAAATTGAAAATCAAAATTTCTTCTTAGTTTTAAAGTATTTTTACGGAATTTTTTATAGTAAATTGCGTTTTAAAAAAGTTACTTGTGACCATTCTACAAAATGTTAAGCTCGATCCTTAAATTTTGCCACAAAAACATTTGAAATGTTCCTTAAATACATAAAGCAGATAAGTAATATTTTTCTTTATTACTTAAGCATTACTTAAGCATTAATTAATACTATCTTTATATAATAATAATATTTCTTACGCAAATGCTCTAAATTTATAAGAATCCTTCAGTTTCGCAAAATTACTAACTAAACATCATGTTTCGTTTTGCAATTTCCATTTTTTCGGAAAAGTGGCCCCAAAAGACTAAAACTAACATCCTTTTGAACGAAAACGAAACGATTGAAAAAAAAATTGCTATGCTGCTAAATTTCGCAGTTAAAATTCAAAAATTCATCGGCATCGAAATTAGTTATTCCGGTAACCCGTAAGTAACGGCGAACTAAAGTTTGATGGTTTGGTGGCAGGTGCCTTACGCTCCGTTCACATGACTTTACGACGCATATAAACACTTTACGAGGGACCTCCTAGGATGTTTTACTGTCACAATTCGTAATTAACCGACATAGCTCCCCCATACATGCCAATGTGGGTCCTTTTATTTCGGCAACCTCATATAATAAAAACTGCAACCGGCAATTAAATATTTACGCACTTCGGTTTAACTTTACATGGTGCCGAGGGCCATGTTTAGTGCTTTTTTATGAGCCGCAGCACGTTGGGTTGGCAACGAAAGTCGCGACGTGGCTTCCTGTTTATTCTCTTTCACGTTTTCAGTTTTAACGGAATATAACAACGCGTTTTTGATGATTTCTACATTTTGGCGGACGCGCCAGTGAAAATAGTGTATGAATTTCTTTGTTATAATTTTTTTTTAGCATTCCATAGATATAGATTCTTACATAACAAATGTCAAGCAAGCTCAGCTCAAAATTTACATTAATGGCTGACTTAAAATAACAATAAAACCATTGACAATATAAGGGAAAAATGTCAATACTTTTAAATTAGATATTACAGTACGAATATTTTAGCATTCGAAGCATCATATTAACGAGAAAATGAATTTCATCTTTGCGATGAAAATAACAATATGTACAGCGTTACATGTGAATAAAAATGAGCGCAATCAAAATTCAAGGTCCGTTTTATTACTTAATGCCAATATTTTAACGATAAAGCAAAATAGTTTTTGCGTTATCCTTCAGGATATGAGTAAAAAAGGATTTGGAACATTCATATAGCAATAGGAATCTAGTTCTAGTAAACTAAAACAGAATAAATGTTTAAACAATGTCTATTTTCACGCGGCAGAATTATAAACAAAACAATAACTTTATTTATTTATTTAATTTTTCCGATACATGTCAAAACGTAATATGTCATAAATTTATTTAAAAATAAATACAAAAGTTTTATATATTTATTTCATGTATTTCGAAGTAATTTAGGTCTGATTGAAGTATAATAATATTTTTATTTTGCCAGTTATGGAAAACGATAAGATGAAAACGTTTTTTATTTCATACACGAATTTATTTTAAAGTTTTTTAAATAAAAAATTAATGCCTGTTTTGAATGAAAATGACACTAACAACTTAAATAAATGAATTTAATTAATAGTTTATTAGCTTCTATTGTTAATTTCCGTTGTGCAAAGACATTCTTTCATAATGTTTATTTTCATTTAACTATTAAAAGTAAATTGTAAATTTTGCCAATTAATAACAGAGCCGAAACGGGTTATTAAAATGTTCTTTTTCAAAATAAATTTAAGTCATAATTCAATTTTTTGTTAAGGCGATCTTGTATGAGGCTTGCGAAATTCTTGCGCAATTAAATACCCAACGACTTGCTTTCCAACGAAGCGAGAGCACATACGACAAAGCCCAGTTTATTTTTTTTAAGCCCTTTATTATGGGTTTTCATTACGCGAAGAAAGTAAAAACCGCGCCCCATCGCCCATTATTCCGTCCCTTTGGTCAATTAACATTTCAGGGAGCTGCCCGCCAATTTCTTCGGCCGACCAGTTGTTAAATTCGCCGTGAACGGGAAAGATCAAGGACAATGGGGAGGCAAAAGTGCGTGTTTTTATAATTAGCGATCTGACATTATTCACGTGTTATCGGCCACGCAGCGCCTAATGAGCCTAATAATTAGTTTCGTCCATAGACTAACTATCGTGAGGGAAAGTTTGGTTACTTATTCATTTTTATTTTATTTTAAATTTTATTTCGGCAGTTGTTACATCACCATGTAAGGGGTGATATTTCTTGTGCTTTATCTTTTTAATTTAAATGTCAAGGAATATAGAGATACTTATATCCGGTATGACTAATGGTATTGTTTTACCAATCAATTTTTTAAACATTTCTTAAAATAAAAAAACTGAATAATTTCAATGGACGACTCCTAGTTTTGCGTTGTTCCCTGTATATTTTTTGTGTTAAACTCCCAAACGTCACCTAACCTCTTTTTTCGAAAAACTTTAGTAAATGTCTTGGAAAAATATAATTCCGGGTTTAAAATGCAAACAAACAAAACTTATTAATGTCTCGTTTAAAGGATATTGAACTAATTAGACAGACAGATAACATTTTTCAATATTCTTTTAACGTGAATTTGATATTTTTCAGATTTTTTAACCCCCACCCAAGAAAACTATAATAATTGATACGCGGAACACATAACACCGTAAATTGCTGATAAATTGGTCACATGGCGTGTTCTCTATCACCTTCAAATATTGTTGCAGTTTATATCTAAAAGAAGCAACGACCTATATGATGTTCCATTTGTCTTTCCGCTGTCAATTTTCGATCATTTTTGTAAAATATTTCCCCATAGCGGTTTCCAAAATACTAAATATTTTCAATATTTTTCGG